TTTTTTTTTTTGAATGCTGTCTTTACAAAAACTACTAAATTCTCCACTAGAAAATCTTTTTTTTTTATTCTGGATTCATTACTAATTCACATCCACTTAAAGCTAAAATAGACTCTTGTGCTGCAAACTCTGCCCCTATTTAACTTGCAGAATTTAGAACCCGGAAGCTCTGCATGTTTAATCCTGATGTTACCTGTATTCACTCCTCTCTCCTGTGGGCATGTGCTGAATGTATGTGTTCTGTTAGTAATCTGATGGTTCAAACTCTTCTCTGTATATCTCTTCAGAAACAAGGACTTCCAGGAAGTCACCCTGGAAAAAGATGGTGAGACAGTGTTGCGTTTTGCAGCAGCTTATGGCTTCAGAAACATTCAAAACATGGTCCTGAAATTAAAGAAAGGGAAGTTCTTGTATCATTTTGTAGAAGTTCTTGCATGTCCTGGAGGTAAGAATAGTATTGGATCCACAGTAGTCTTTTCTCCCTTGAGGGTGATGGGGCTGTAGACATGTCTTGGGTTCTTGTTCTGGCTTTTAGCTGACCATGTTGTGGTAGGTGTCTTCAACAGAAATGAATGGTCCAAAACATAACAGTCTTAACTAAGAACAACCTTCAAAAATCTGTTTTGTAGCTGTTGCTTTGGACAAGTCAATATCTGTCACATTTTTCTCCTCTGTTTACTTACAAAACCACTAGCTTAGGAATGAGGGTCATTCTTTTTACTACATTAAAGCTTCAGGGAAATCCTCTGAAATGATAGCTGAGGGCAAGATAAGAATATGGAACTTAATCCACATTTCTCTTTATCAAATCTGTCTGCTGCAGTTTTGATACAGATACTGCATCCACAATAATAGGACAATATAATGGTCATAGAATCATTTTAGAGGTGAATGGAGACCTTTAACAGTATTGATAGGACTGGTACCTGCATAAAGACTGAGTTCAAGGTTTTTAAAAAACAAACATGAATATGTAGTCATAGTACTTCTTAAGGCTGTGTTTCTATTTGGTTTCAGATTCGGCCACTTTGGAGGACAGTGACTTGTTTCAAATCGCTGTCCTGCTTTGTTTTGGCTGAAATCTGTTTCCAGGATTTGGCTCTGCCAAATCTCCGAATCTGTTTTGAACAGGCTGCCAGGGAAGCTTCACACAGCCCTACCCACCCAGGCAGGGCTTGGGGCCAGGAGCTGCAGGGCCCTAGCAGGGAGCAGAATGGGGCCAGGAAGAGCTGTGGGAATGATCAGGAGCTGGATGTCTATCGGAGCAGTCATCGCCATCCCTTCCCCTTCCCTTTAGTTTGTTTGCTTGTGCAAGACCAGCTCTGAAATGCCAAAGTTCTCCAAAATGTTTTGGAGCCTTCTGTCTAGATTCAGATTCAGTATTTCAGGTGCTGAAATGCCTCCAATACAGAATGGCTGCCCAAATTTCATACAGCTTTAGTATTTTTTCCACCCTCAAACAAATTTAATCCTGATCTGTGGGCCTTTGTTTTCAGGGTGCTTAAACGGAAAAGGCCAGGCCCAAACAGAAGATGGAAAACTAGACAAAGCATTGCTTAACCAGATGGAGGAAACGTATGCTGCTGTCCCTGTAAGGCTTCCAGAAACCAACATGTATGTGCAGAAGCTGTACCAGGACTGGCTTGAAGGGATGGATTCCAAGAAAGTCCAAGAAACTCTGCACACCAAATACCATGCCATGAATCAAACTGTGAACAGCTTGGATATCAAATGGTGACAAATGAGACTCAAAAGCTTAAAGACTTGCATAGGTTAGCTATAAATTCAGCACTGGAACCATTCTATGCAATTGCAGATGCTATGCAGTAGCCAGGTGTACAAACGATACACTTTCCTAATTGCGGATCATACTCTCAAAGAAACCATTGCTTTTTGGGTGGGGGGCTAGCTTGTTTTGCCCTGTTCCACCCCCCCACCCCAGTAAGTGCTTTGATGTATTCTGGCACGTGTTAGACATTATGCTTCATCTCCTATGTATATGGGGATTTCTAACTTGCCTAGGGCCTGATCTTGCAAGGTACTGTGAGCACTTTGCCAGAAAGAAAGTGCTTTCAACTCCCAGTTAAATTATTTCAGGTCAGGGGTTCTCACCACTCTACAGAGCTGGACCCCTAATATGGGGCTCTCACTAACCCTTGTGTATGTTGTTACTTTCATCAGTGGAAAGTAGCCACCACAAGATAGTTGAAGTTTTAAGGGTACAGTGTTAGGACTCCTTTTTGCCTAAAATGTCACTTTATGTGGTGACGTGAGAAATGTAATGAATAAATTAAATATATTTATTCCATCAGCATTAAATTAAAAGTTCCTATACCAAAACCAAATGCTGGCAGTCAGCTTCGTATTGACACACTAACCCTGGGAGGGGGGTTTGCAGGCAGTCCTAAATCCTGTTAACTTCTCTCTCTCTCGTTTTTCCACAAACTAGAACCCTGGTTGAAAGTGAATCACTTGCAATAAATTTTTTATTTTGTCTGACTTCATTATGAAAGTGAGACACTGATAGCAACATTTTGTCTGTCTTCATATGGTATTATGTGCCCACTAAAATCCACACTGCCTCTGTGCTACGAGATTTACAACACCTCTGCTGTTTTTATTTTCAGTTAGCCCTGAGAGCACACCAGATTGTGTTGTCATTTTGTAATGCTTGACAGTCTTTTCTCTTTCTTTGAGTGCCTCCTAACTTTTTTTAATCTTAATTTGTGGAAACTAGTGAGCTAATAGAAAACAGTACAAACTGAAATACCTAATTTGGATGAATTTTAATTTTGCTATGTTGTATGGATGTCTTGTTTAATTAACGTCTAAAAAGTGGTACTTGGTATAACCTTCCTTGCACTCACAATTCGTGGGGGTTATGTTTAAGAATGTGATGCAAAATTCCAGCTACCTAAGTCGTCTTTCAGTTTTATAGAAACATTATGCTTTTGTGTGTTTGTCTCTTTATTGGCCTTCTTTAACTAAAGGAGTTTTAACTTGCACATTCCATTTCAGAAAATGTGGATGGGCTTTGTCATGATCTCAGGAAGTGGTTTTTTAAATGCATCTAATTTATAATCTGTTACTGTGCTTGTGTGTATAGCAGCTGGTGTTACAAGACCTCTCTAAATTTTGAGATCAGGATCAAGCCCTCTGCTGGGAGGCATTCACTGCTTCCTTTTTTTAATAACCACCAGCCTAATAGTACATAAAGTGAGCTTTTGCCATTATCATGTATAGCAACAAGGTCGCAGTGAGAAACGAGAAATGGTACTGAAACATCTAACCTAACCTGTTGGAAGAAGCCAGTGGCATTAAAATGGACCTGTTGACTCAAGTGTGGCTTCCACCTAGGCTTCCTCTCCTTCAATAATAATTAATTTCAATATAAAGGGATGTGTTCTTCTTCCAATGCACGTAGATTTGACTGGTATGGCTACCTGCATGCACAAAATGATTATACCTTCAAGTAAGCTTTTATGGGATTCATTTTCATTAAATAATGTAAAATGTTACATTTTTTTAAAGTGGTGCAATAACTGAACATAGCTATAAAAACAAATAAATAAAAAATCTACCTCCATACTTGAGAAGGAGTCCAGAGGAGAAGACAGCTTGTGGGGTGGGAAAAATATCTCTTTTCTTTTTTAAATGTACCTATACTAAAAGATCATCTGTGTTGTGTGTTTTTTTTTGTTTTTTTTTTTATGAAGCTTGTGAACACAGCTACTTACAGCTTTATTTTCTGGAAACAACGTAAGATCCCTTCAGTTTTTTCATTTTCTTGATCCAGTATGATTTCCTCAGTGCTTCAGTTGAATTGACTTGTAATTAAATGTTGTTCTATGGTTGTATATACATTTTTTTTTTCTCTCTGTATATATGGTTTATAGCTGGATGATATGTTTAAATTATATATATTATAGCTTCAGTATATTTCATTTATAAAGGAAAAAAGTGCATGTACATGACAACATGAAAAATGGCTTTGTTTAATTTTAAATCTTAGTTCATTACCATGCTGTGAAAGAGCTGCCTTCCTCTTCCAAAGTGGGTTCTCTTAACCTTAAGTCTAGAAAGAACAAAAAAAAAAAAGTTCTTTGTCTTATGTAGCTGTCTGATAGTGCAAATGAAGCTCTTCTGCCACTGTACTTCACTGCAAATGCCAATGACACTTAAAATCTATTTCCCTGGTGAAGTGTTGCCACAGGAACAGTTTCAAATGGAACATAAATCTGGCTCAAATGCAAGTTCTCTCCTATTATGGGAAAGCAGCAGCTAAACATGCTTACAAATTTATTTTTCTATTTTAAATGTAGAATGCTCTGTGCCATTAAAGTAATAGTAATCTATTAATAAAAGTGGTGTAGTAATAAGCTTGTAAAATAATTGAATGCAGCAACATCTCCTTGAAAGAGAAGTGCTGGGGGAGTGGGGGGGCAGCACAGGTTTAAACATTCAGTTAACAGAACTGCCTTAATGGCTACCGAGAATGTCATTAGTCATTACAATTAAGGTGTCTAGTTTGGTAGTTGTGGGGAGGCCTCTTGTTTGAACAAGTTTTTGTTGTTGTGGTGGTCTTTTGTTTGTTTTTTTTTTTTTTAATTTTAAGTAATTTAAAGAAGCAGCATCTCTCAAATATTGTCTCCCATTTAACTGTCAGCTTGTGGAAAAATTGGTGTGTTCAATGGCAGAACTAGAAAGTTTTGTTTCTTGGTTTGTTTGGTGTTTTTGTTTTTTGTTTTTCCCCTGGAGTGTGTGTGTTTTGGCTTTTTTGCTTCATGGTGAATTCTACCCAAAGTGATAAAAGCTTCTTGTAATTTTAGATGGGTATCTAGAAATGCTTAAAATTCTGGCCTTTAAACCTATATTAAGAAAGTTTACTCATTGTTGACAGTGAGTGCAATAAAATAGCTCCTGAAGCTGCACTGGATGCATCCTGGTCCCATCTATGTTGCCCTTGAGCTGTCTTTCAGCAGCAGTTCATTTTACACTTTTTGTTGATAAAGGGTATCTACATTAGGTGAAGGTCCTAATGGCCATAGCCATTGTGCTCCATTCTCTATTTGAATGTTTTTTGCTAGGCAAGCTATTTTTCTTTTATCCAGAAAGACTGGGATCCAGTTGTTAAGCAAAGCAAACATCTGTAGGTGGGAAGGAGGGGGGAAGTTGACCAAATAAAATGACTAAACTTAATTAAGAGGTGGTCTTACATGCCGTAAATATTTTGAAGTGTAATGTGCCAGTGGTGAGAGGTATTGTATTATAGTATTTTTCTGAAGACTCTAACAAAGTATAAATATTGTAAAGACCTTGTGCCAAGACCCCTGAAATAAGAGTTTGCCTCCCTGTAAGCCAGTAATCCATAGCATTTGTTTGTCATGCATTGTGAAGATGAACTTGGGCTGTATACCTAATAACAGATGTCTGTACACACTTGGCAGCTACTGTTGGATGACATTTAGATGACAGCAAGTTATTTAAACTCTGGTGCTTTGTATTTCAAATAGAGCATGACCACATATTGCCCTAATAAATACTTCTAACATTTGAATCTTGTGGTACTATTGTGTCTGCACATTCAGCCTGGTGTTCCTATGTGCCCACTGATGTTCACACGGACATTAGTGTGTAATTTCAATATCAATTATTCCACAATATACTACCTGCAGATACTTAGAAAATGTGTTGAGATGATCAAACTACTAGTAAGATATCTATCTCTCTCAAACCTGAACTATTTTTTTTTTCTTAAAATGATTGCACAATTGTTACTGACCTGTTTTGAGGGGTGGCATCTCATTTTGAATTGCAGCAAAGTGCATCACTCTCCTCTTACAAAACAAGGAGACTATAGCTATGCAAACCCTTTCCCAAACTGGAAGCAAAATTCCCTTTTGGGTGACTATAGGAAATAGTTTACCCTGCTCTTTGCAAGACCATTCATGGCATCTGAGAAGGTAGACAGTTGCCTACCTGAGGAAGGGCACCTGATGCCTGAAAGCTTATCTAGAAGCTGTCCTACATATACAGTTAATCCAACAAAAAGAAATAAAACTTGGTTGCCCAATACTTTTTCTGAACCAGTTAGTTGTATGGTGTGGCCTTTACTTGATTTCAGGCTAACATGACTAACTGTAATTGACTGAGACCAAATAACCCAGATGGCTTCTGTAGGATGCCTGGCTTCCAAAGCTTTTAGGGAGCTCTGTATAAGTGTGACTAATTGCAGCACAGTACAGAACATTTAATAATACAGCTGAGGTGCTTATGCAAAGAATAGCAGATCTATCTGTGTTTGTTTTCCTAAGTCTGCACACAGCCTGGAACAACAGCTTTGGCAGAGATCTCTGCAAAACAAAAAAGTCCTAGCAAGTGCAGGGGTTACTTTCCCCTCCGAGCAAGGGAATCTTTGCTGGCTATGGGTTCTTTCACTTTGGGTGGGGAAAGAATTCTAGGTCCCCAGCCCGCTGCCAAACACAAGGCCTGGATACCACTTCTCCTGAGATCACACTTAACTGCAGCCGGGCAGTAAGATCACAAAATGATGAAAGGACTTGCTCTGTAAAAGTAAAGAATTCTATGAAAAAGCTTGCAATCAGATAACACAAAGGAAGAAGAAAATGACAAGTTTCTCACCCTCTCTGGATCTAACCTTACTGCTTCTGTATCTCCAGAAATCAGCCTTCCTGCTAACTCTTGCACCTCTGCTCACTGGGGGGCTGGACTCACCTGAAGACATGCGAAAACCCAAAGACAACCAGTAGGTCATAGAAAGCTCCCAAACACTTCCAAGCCAGCTCCCTCCTCATCAGCTTTGATCCAACTGTTGACGCATCTTAAAAATCTTTAGAAATGTCTTTCTTTTCTGTGGCATCTGGATTCCCTGCCACTTCCCATTTCCTTGAGATGCCTTCATTATTGTGGGGCTGACTCATTAAAACCAGCCAATGCCATGAGTACCCATCCTTACAATAACCCTTTCTGCTTGCGTTTTGTGTTGACACTTGATGGTGCCTAAGTAATAATGGACCAGTGATGCTTATTAATTTCACCTTCCTTCTGTTCCTCTGACATAAAACACCTCTTAGTTACAGATCTGGCAATAACCTTTTAGTTGTGCCCCAAAATTGTAAAGAGAAATGCACGCAGCATAACATAATGCATGCAATGACAGAAAAGACATAAATAATTGCTTTTGAGCTAAACCAAACTTAAGGTTAATCAAAGCAAACTTGGGACAGCTCTGTGGGAGACACTAAGCCCCTGAATCATTCCTGCTTCTACAGGTGGGCTCCTAATGGAGTGAAAAAAAAACCAATTCCACAGTTACTGAAGTGATGCAAAAAACCCCATTGCTAACCGGTGTAAAGACCACTGAAAATCAGGATGCTGCAGGAACAGTTACCAACTTGCATTAATGCAACCGGGCTTCCTCCCTTGCCTCTAGATAGAGGAGATCAGTGTGAAAATTCTTTAGACGTAAATTATCCTTTCTTTCTTTTAAAGGGCCTAAGTGCTATAATATTTAATTATCCTTAAAAGTTAAAATGTACCTGTTAAATCAGAGGGATTACTGCAGTTGAGGATTGCTTTGTGCCATAAGTAAAAATAAAACTTGATTAGGACTTAAGGGCAACAGTGAGTAAGAAAAGTGCAAAAAAGGTTATAGTAGGAATCATAAAAAAACAGAGCGGTGTTGACTGATTTTTAAAGAGCACAAAATGTAATTATAAAATTCATTTTTAAGTGTGAGAAAAAGAAATAATGTGATTTTACATTCCATACCTGGCACCCAGTTCAATGACGACTGACATGGAAAAAAGTCACTGCCCAGAGGATCATTTATTTGTGCAACTTCCTTTATGCTTCCGAGATAACTGACCATTGCAAACGCTTAAAAGAAAGCAGGTTCTACCGAGATTTGAACTCGGATCGCTGGATTCAAAGTCCAGAGTGCTAACCATTACACCATAGAACCAGGTGGTGGCACTACTTCCAGCCCCTGCAGATAATAGGGATCTATTGTGTATTTGCAGGCTCCATTTATCCA